CGTGTGTAAAAGAGTACTTAACAGCGAGATGATTCTTTTTAAACTAGATTTATTTCTTTAAGCCGGATTAGGTGACCCCCCTGACGCGAAAGTGATCCCTTGACTCAAAGGCTAGATCTATCCATATTCAAGTCTGAGATGGTATGTTATATCAAAGTCAGTTGGCATATCAGTAGAAAAGAGCCAGATTCCAACTCCCTGCACAGAGTGCAAATAAGTGGTTAATCTCTCGAATGCGGATTGAAAGTAAAAAGATAATTTTACAAGACCTTATGATATATGGAAATGAAAAGTCCGGAAAGCGCGCAACTATAAATCGGTTTTTTTCGAATAGCAGTATATATTTCAATAGAATTTTGATAACAAATTCAATAGATATTTCAAAAAGTCAGTGGCGTAAAGAATAATTTTTTACACCTTACGCCCCTGTGATCGCAGAAATTTTATATTATATTATATATACTGGTTTTTCGATGTTATTTGACGCTCATTTCCTACATGTCTGTTTGCATGTCCGTCTATAACTTGGGAAGGTACTACTCCGATTTGGATGAAATTTTCGCGCAAAATCTTCTACCAACGCTTAGCTAGGGGCAAAAACATGAAAACTAAAAATTGCTGAATCTTCGTTTTTGGGCGTTTTGGAGGCTCCTGATCGCTTTCAGAAAAATTTGTGCAGGGTTTGAAATTTTGAGGTAGGGCATGGGGGAGCGTATAAGAAAGTTCTTTGATCTGAATCCATTTATAAGTTCCCAACTTCGGTTATTCTATGCACCTATCAGCCGAATTTCTCATATCATTGATTTCGCGACATGTTTTTAATCCGCGTGCTATCTAAGTTTACCTCTCTGCTTACCAGTCCGACTGACTGATCTATCCGGACTGATGAGGGCTTTGCATAGGAAGTGCAGAGTCAACGCAAGGGTCAAAATTTTCCAATTTTTACGCCACTTGTATGAACTCAGGGATGAACATTTTTGTGTGTATAGGTTATGCTTTTAATACCACGACATTTTAAGTCAGTATCTTAATCCACTGTAAACATACGATTTACGTTTTGTTTCGAAATAAATAATTAAATAACTTCATCACCCTGTATTTCAGTAAAGAGGCATATCAGGATGCATGCTTACATGCGCTTTTCACATTACTCTTAGATCTACTTTATGCTTTGAATATATCACCATTATCAAGTAAAAGCAAAACTTGCACAAGGGGTAAGTAGAGGATATAATATGTGAGTGATCTTTTAAGTTCAATTTTCTAAAATCGCTTTTCATAATTTATAAGGTAACCCATTAATCATCGGTCACACCTCTTGCCTATCGGTTTTCTCACGTCCTGTTCAAGCCCGTGCTTAATATGAATTACTACATATTGCCCTCTGATAGAGTGTGATCTCCACACTGATAAAACGGTAGTTAGACCAGTTCTCATGGTGTAACGCTCATTACGAAAATAGAGAAAAAACTACACTGCGTTCCATCCCCATTGATCTTCCCCAGATAATTCAGCCCAAGATTGCAATTTCTATTAGAATAAACATATAAATCCGATACTTGATTATAAGTCATTCATTAAGTTTATTACGTTAATTTAGCTGTAATTATAATCCGCTTGGTAATCTTTTGATAATCTATTATAGAACCTGTTGCGTGTCTTTTAGAAAAAAATTACTACGACACGGATTGTGGACAGTGGCGTTTCTAGTAACCAAACCATCGAATTATTTCGGTCTAGGTAGAAGTCTGTTGGTTGCCAAATTACAGTCAGTAGTCAGGATGCAAGTTCATACTGCAAGTCGATCAGGCTTAGGCTGCCAATTTGACACTTGTTCACATTTCACATTAAATTGGTGAATTATTTGAAAATATATGAAAGTGTGTTGTGTTTTAAGTGATTAAGAGCAAATGCTTTTATTGATAAGTGCTATATACAGTATAAAGGGCATGTACCTCAACATCGGGCTTTTACTGGGCAGTTGTGAGGTAATTTTGACTTATTTAAATAAATCATTAGTAGGTTTGTATACCTATCAACAACATTTAATAATGCAAAATATTGGAGACAGCCCAAATTTTCTGATGGATACTGAAAAGGGCCAGCCGAAATTTCATTCCAGCTAAACTAAAATTTAATTTATCTAATTTTGAATCCAAAAGTTCTTAGAAAAAGTACTTTCGCATTATAAGTAGAAAATCTCATTTTAGTGTCACGAGATTCTATGGAGGAAGGACAGTATGCTAAAAAACTATGACTATGAAATTGACTAAAATACTTCCGAACCATTTTGTTGGATAACTAAAGTGTCAGTTGATATAATAGTAGGAACTTCCATGTGCATTGAGCAAAGAATCTGCTTGGATCGTGATCAAGGTTTAAGCCGCGTACAGACCAAAAATCCAATGCCGAGCAAACTAATGCAAGCACATGTGACGTTGGCGTTTCTTGTTGCAAGGTTTTGGAATGAACTCGTCTACACCTAAATTTAATTTCAAGTTGGACGGCGTTAAGTTCGGTGCTAATGTCGAGCGACGAATCTCCACTTGACTCGAATACAGACAAACGAATAAATACTATAAGCGTAACAAATCCTGTCCAGACCAAATCAAACTTCCCTTTGATGTACCGATCAAGGAGCGAACGCAGTCCTTGGAAACTGTTGGCTTATGTCTAGCAGCCACATCGCACGGCAGTATCACACAGGAGAGCTCTGAGGAGCAAAGCTCATTGACATAGTAGTAGAAGGGAGATGGATCGCCACATGCGAAAGTTCCCCGAGACAGTGTATTATAGAATTCGTTGGTTTCAACAGAGATGAGGCTGTCAATTCAGTGAACAAACAGTGCGAGAATATAGTTGTAAGCAAAGTAAAAAGTCTCAATTTGAACTCGGTGGATGTTGCACATATGAGTAAACACAATACACCTGGCCTAAGAGCTGCAAGAAAGGACGAATATCACCTAAGTGAGGTTAGCCTGTTGTTAATGCAGTTGAATTCTTTCAGATAAGACGCTGGTTTTCCCTCCGCCATAACTGGATGCCGCTTCCGATGTCAATACACAAAAAAATGTGTCTTCGCCACAGCTTGTGGCTGCATAATCGTTTTCATAGCTCCGTTAACCGCATAGTAGTTAGTGATAGCCTTAAATTGATGTGGAATTCCTGGTATAATAAATAACCAAGATCATTAGTTCGACAACATACGCAGCATTCATTGCAGGGATTTTTGTGGATGATTAAACTACTATAGAGACGCAAAGTCTACTTTCACTATGTTGCTTTTTAGGTGAGACAAAGCCTAACCGCATATATGGAGTTCATAAAGTACTTTGTGAATGGCCACTGGACAAGACTGGTTTAATTTTTTTGTCTAATTAAACATTCCTGCATTCAATTTATAAGAAATGGTTGCTTGAAAGAAAGTTATTATGAAATGGTTAAATGCTGCATTATTGTGGTACTGAAATATTAATTATAATAAATGTTAATAAAATAACGGTATCGTGAGGATACACAGTTACATTTAACATACTTTTAAAGATCTTCTGCTAGATAGTCGATAAGTGCTCAATGAAATCATCCAATCAATTTTAACAAATAGGTATAATTTAGGTATAATTTTTCTATGAAACGTATGTAATTATATATTCGAAAATAGCCTCAAATAACAAGATTTTAAAATCCAGATGTTTGTTCTGATACGTGGAAATGATAACGGTCCAAATTTAAAAAATATACCTACTCATTTTGTTCCTAATTTAACGCACTCAATGTTATTTAAATTGAAATAAGATGTTCTTCTGCTAGCACAGAGGGGATTTTGATAATGTTAAATGTAAAGAATACCGTAGATATTTTGAAAATTAAGATGAAATTATTCCATGTACCTATTTAGCATATCCATTGTTGGACTACACAAAAGCTTGATTAACACGTTTTCGCATTTTTTTGTCACCGCATAGTGACTAGAAAGCTGATAGTCGGGGAAAAGGCATGCCATTTTGAAAAATTAAACTTTGAACTGACAGTATTTTACGAAATTAAACTGGAGGTTGAAATATGTCCGAAAATGAGGTACATTCAAAACACAGTAACAAAACGAAGGTGATCTCAATCAAATACATCTGGTACTGAAATATTAATTATAATAAATGTTAACAAAGTGACGGTATTGTGAGGATACACAGTAACATTTAACATACCTTCGAAGATCTACTGCTAGATAGTAGATAAAATCCTCTAATCAATTTTAACAAATTGGTATAATTCTTCTATGGAGTGTATGTAATTATATATTAGAAAATATCCTTAAGTAATAAGATTTTCAAATCTAGATGGTTGTTCTGATGCGTGCATGATGTTGTCGAAATCAGAGCTTCTATGTGATAATGATACCAGTCCAAATTAAAAAAAAAATATTTATTTATATACCTATCCATTTTGATTCTAATTTAACGCACTCAGTGTTATTTAAATTAAAATAAGATGTTCTTCTGTGAGGACAGTGGGGATTTTGCTAGTGATAAAAGAAATCCGTAGTTATTTTGAAAATTAAGATAAAGTTATTCCATGTACCTACTTAGCATATCCATTGTTGGACTACCTAAGAGCTTGATTAATACGTTACCGCATTTTTTTGTCACCGCATAGTGACCAGGAAGTTGATAGTTGGGGAGGCGGAATGCCATATAGAAAAAAATAACTTTGGACTGGCAGTATTTTCCACAAAATTAGAGTTTGAAATAAGTTTGGAAATGTGGTACTAGATTCAAAACACACTAAGAAAGTTGTGGTGATCTTATTTGGTCAAAGTACCTAGTTGGTGCTAGATCATTTGTTGCTGGATCTCTGAAGTATTTTTTTGTTCAATTGCCGAGATAGTGTTTTCGGCAATCCGACGAATTTGCTGGAAATTTCAAACAAGCTCAGCTGATGTCAACAGATGTCCCTAACGGATGAATAGTATTTAAAAAAAAATATCTTGTTCAGAGACTTACCGCGTCACAATGCATACTAGCACTCAACTGCCTGACAGTCCCTCTTCCTAAGGCCTCCCGCTTCCTCTGCGCCGAAAATAACCTTAACTCCTTCCTTTCCTCATCCGAGAGTGCATGGCAGTACCGCACCTCATTGTCATGAGGAGGCAGCTGTTGCAGAAGCTGTCGTACCCGGTACCGCTCACCAACGCTGTTTACATAGGGGACTTTGTCCTCTGGGAGGGCGCTGAAGTACAAGTGAACCTGAAATAAGTAGAAAAAGGAAATAGTAAAATTGAGAATCAATCTAAAACATTCTTTTTTATCAAGACTTCATTCATTGAAAGAGGTGACATTGCTTCGTATAAGCAGTTCGGCAAAAGCTGTACTATCGACCCTACGTCGCACACTGGGACGAATGAGGACTCTAAGCGAAAAAAACTAAAATTTAAGAAATCTAAAATTTCTGAGTATTTAGCAGAGAAGATTGTTTTGATACGAGAATTGCGAAAAAATGAACAAATAAAAAGTAGATCATGTATTACGGCCGCTATATAAACATCGAATTCAAACAATTAGGTACATATTAGTGATTTGTTATAGGCTCTGAAAAGCGGTGAAATTGATCGTTGTGTCACACCGCCTCCTAAGTATAAAAGTAAGTAACTAGTTACTTTAAATGCGAAACTCAGTTGAATATCGTTTTATGATGTTATGTGTGAAAGCGTAATTTGTCAGTTGCTGTCTTTCTAGTATGATTAAAAACTGCTGCAGACCTGCTGCAGCGAATGTCTAATATTTGCTAAATTTCAGAGTGAGGTGATGGGGGCCGTGCACCCCCTGGGAATACAGTTGGGCTTTAACATGTGCATATTTGCCATTATTTTGTGTATAATTTTCACGAGTTTTAAGATTTGCCTCCCCTCACTGAGAAAATATGCAGCCCCCGCTCTTCAAAAAGCTTTGGGCGCTGCTACACTTTGACAAAAAGTTATCTGTTGCCGATGATCGGCGATCCCTGAGAAAACTTACAGCAGACGTGTATGTTCAGCAATTGAGATCTGTATTTCCCATAGGGAACCATTCGATCTGTGGCACATTTGTCAAGAAATGGGCTAAATGCAGAAGCAGCTATCCGATGGATTTTACAAAATAAAGCGAATTTGTAATTTAATGCTTATTTCTGTTATTACTGCCGTACTTGAATGGGCATACTGAAATGGTAGGTAGTATAACCTGAGATGTTTTCACATCTGAAAATAAGAAAGTGCTAAATTATTTTTTTTAACCGATATACACCCTGTAGGTGATTTATCTAAACTCGACAAACCTTTGACATCGTATGCTGCACGATAATAATCTAGGAGTTATGTAGAGAGACATGTGGAATTAAATATTTGGAATGTTTAGATAAATCACCTTGCATATCAGTAAAAACTGAATTTAGAGCTTTTTTAGTTTCAGATATGAAACGATCTTAGTCCATACTAACTACCATTTCACTACAGACAGTTAAGTATAGAACACGGTGTATATCCGTAACAGCACATACGCTGCTGAAGCATACCGTGAACACTATTTAAAGTAATCACTTGTCCATTGGAGTGCTATTCGGAGAGGTACAGTAGGCTAGGAATTAAGACTTAAGAAGATTTCGCTTATCGAGCACCAAGAAATGAAGATGTTGCTGACATCATCAGATTCTCTTCTAAATTCGATCAGGTCAAAACCCCTAAAATTGAGGATGTCTTGCCTCGATGTTAATTAAATCTCTTCAGAGGCAAGTGATAGTTGTAGATCAGACAATGGTGTCCAATAAATTTATTTCCTAGATACTATGTTTTTATTTTCTTGATATCTTATACCTTAATGTCATTGTGCCAAAATATACTAACTTATAATGTATACGACTTTTTTCTTCGATTCCTTTTTATTCTGGTTTTAACTGGGTAATCGTTTTCCTGTTAAATCATCTTCACGAATGACTGTTTATCAGTTGTGTACCTGATAAAGGCAAATGTATTGACGATTGCAACTTGAAAATGAACGGAGTGTGTCGCACGACTGTTTTGATACGAATTTTCAACTTTCCCTACTTATACTTCAGTTTAGCCATTATACGGAGAAATATAGTTACTTTAGCCTCTAATTCCTCATAATCTGTTGATTATACGACAATTTTTTTTTAAAGCATGATGGTGAAGAACTTAATTCCCCACAAAATGGTTTCTATTATTTCTTTACATAGGATCGATGGTTTTCGAGCTCTTCGATCAAACGCTTATCAATGATGTAAAAATACCACCAAAATATTCTCTGTCGCCCAATTTGCGGGATCTCCTTGAACAAAATCTCCCTATTTCTTGCCCTAGGTGTATTCTATAAATAGAACATAATTTACAACTTGGCAGAGCTTGTTCTAAGAAAGCTGGACATAGGATCATTCTGACGTGACCTTTCAACGTCAGCAATACTGAAAATAGCACGATTTTCCTTAAATAAATGTAAGAGAAATTGGTGAAAGCTTGAACGAGAGTAAAATACCATCTTATATGGTTGCTGGGATAATTTTGATTAAGGCATTATTCCTTTTTATGTGCGTAAAGGAAAAACATGTAAAATTGTATTTTAAGGATAGAACATGAGAATCGGGAGCAATATGTATGTATCAATTTTGAATCTGGTATGGTATGTACTCTAATATCAACTGTGAAGTCATGCCAAAACAGCAGGGTGTACCACACAGGGTGCTTTACTGTGACCGATTATCTTCCTCTTAAACGCCAATCAGATCGCTGACGCTTTATCCACCATTAAACATACAGCTTATGTGGATTCATAATTTTCATAATTACCAGCGCAAATTAGATCAATTTAGTATAAATGTCAATAGTTCAGTATAAGTAAGTCAAAAAAACCTCCGAATTTTTATCGATAAGTCTTTGAGTTGGAGAAGCCACGGTGAGCAGCTATATTATTATCGTCTTAGCTACCAGCCCCTAGCCACTTCAGATGGCCCAACTATTGAAATCTTAGTTTTTTCCTTATCAAACACAAATAATAAAAATGTAGCAGGGTGTTATAGGTTTAAAATATTAACAATGAATATTTTGATAATATATAGTAGAAAACACCAACTTTATCACTCCCTAATCAGCATAAAAATAACACAGGTTGCAATTACAGCATATGAACCCATGTCCATTTCAATGCAAAATAAGTCTATAACGCATAGGTGGCTGTGAAAAATAGAAGCCATGACAATTGTTTTTATTAATCACAGCTGTCAGAATACGTTTCAAATAGTTTTGGGTAGTTAAGGTTTTCAAAATGGGTAGAGGAAAGGTTATTAGTGAGAAAATTCGGTTACTCATAATTAAATTTTTGTATTCTGGGAAATCAAACTTAGAAATTGCAACTTTGTTAGACTTATCACGGTACAGTGAGAAATATTGTTAGAAGATATAGCGTAACTGGTTCAGTTAATATTAAGCCACGATATGTGAAAAAAGTAATATCACAAATGCCGACCGAAGAGCATTAAGAAGAATAATCGTGAAAAACAGGCGTGCCAATTATTTACAATTAAGTGCTCTCTGGAGTGAAGCTATTGGAAGGAGAATTTCGAGGTCCACAACTCATAAAGAGGCCCACAAACTGGGATTTAGCACATGCAAGGTAAGTTTTCTTATAAAAAAGAGTGAAGTAAAAACCCTAAAGTTGCACAACTTGTTTATAGGCCAAAGAAAAGCCACTATTAACTCCACTGCAAAAGAAAAATCGGCTTAGATGGGCTAAAGAACATAGACAATGGACACCCCAACAATGGTGTGCAATACAATGGAGTGATGAGGCCCGATTCGAAGTTCGTGTTGGAGAAAGTCGCAGTAGAGTTATTCGCAAAAAAGTTAAGCATTCCATGTTGACTGTCTGAAGAGAAAAGTGAAATTTCCAGCATCCATTATGATCTGGGGCAGTATGTCATCAAAAGGAGTAGGAAAACTTCATTTTATTGATGGAAATATGGATACAAACAAATATTTGGCAATTTTAGAAAAATCGCTTTAACCAGTGATGTAAGAATGTTTGACATCCGGTCAAGATTTTGTGTTTCAGCAAGATGGTGCAGCGTGCCATACCTCAAAAAAGGCTATAAAATGGATGGAAGAAAATAATGTACCACTTTTGAAATGGTTTTCTAGCAGTCCAGATCTGTCACCTATTGAAACTCTGTGGCACGAGGTGAAAAAGGTTCTACGACAACATTCTGCTCGTACAATCACCGAACTGAGACAAAAGCTTCAAGAAATATGGGATTGTTTTACACCAAATTTTTGCCAAAACTTGGTTAACACTATGCCCAAAGAATTTCAGCCGTAATAAAAAATAAAGGTGATGTTACCCAATGGTAATCTTTCAATTGTTGCTTTGTAAACTTCGCGCATTTATTCGCACATTGTCTCTTTGTTCAGATGTTCTATTAGTTATAGGTCTAAGTGATTTCAAATATGTATTTTTTATGACTAGAGTGTATCTAAAATGTTTTTGAGAAAATAAATAGTCTCGTCATGTTTGTACATATCTTTTTGTACATATCTTGAAGTGGGCCAACTGAAGTGTTTTTAGGAATCTAAGAAATCTTTGAGCTGTCCTGATTTTATGAATTTATATTATGGGCTAATTGACTTTGTTAACGCATTTGCATGTGAGGTTTATTCAACGCAAGTTTGGCAAAGGTATGTCACCACCACTCGATAGAGAGCTGTTTAAAGATTCTGCAATAGACATTGTCTTCGTTGTATATACTAGAACTGGCCAATTACGTGTAGGCACACTTTTGTGAATAGTGATATTCACACGCTCAATATCAGGATAACACCTAATTACATTTACCTATTTGTAACTACGAATGCAGCCATATCTTACCAAATTACTTAGGATTTTCAATAATCTCCCTCATAAGGTAAACGCGCAAACGTGAAGTCCTTCAAACAAAATATTTTGTAGCGTTAGAGAGTTCTTTTCTTGTGAGTATTTCAAGGTTTTAATTGCAAAAAGCTTGTTCTCTTGTCGTCTTTTTTGTTTTGCTGTTTGCTCCCTTGTTTTCAATTTTAATTGACCATGTTTTGTAACATATACAGAAAAATAAAATAATTTGAATCTGATTTTGTCGAGTTGTTGACCTTGAGCCACGTTGATTTCAATTTCATTTGTCTATGCCTTCTCTTCTAGGCTTTTTTATGGTCATTTGTGAAAAGGAATGT